TGCATGTGTCCACTTTTTATCTTCAAGGTCCAGTTCAGTCGAGGATATTGTTTGAGGACGGCCGAAGCCCATCCAAATCATCGGAGGCGTTTGGCTGGCTTGGCTGGACGTTCAGGACCTCCCTTTCGACCTTGCAGATACCCCACAATGCACTCCACACTTGGCCGTAGTGCGTCAAGGTGTAGATCAAAGACCGCCCGGCAGCTGGTCTGCGTTGCTTGCTGCGTGCGGGCTTGGGCGGGCTTGTAATAAGTCGTTATCCCAAGACCACCCAAGCATTGATCACCGGCGTTGAATACAGAGTTCATCCCCGCAATTTACAGCCACTTGGACGAACTGGTTGACCTGTTTTGGGTTCTCCAATCAACCAAGTCTGCCAAGTACTAAGTCTACGACCCCCTTCTTCTTCTTCTTCTCGACCCGGGGTTTCTCTTTCTGGTACCTATGCATCTAATTCCCATTTCCGGCCCATCACTCATCCTAGGTATCTACTCTCTTCAGAGCTACTGCTACTACTACTACTGAGAAACACCCTTCTATCCATTCATCATCTACCCTCTGACGTACCAAACAAAGTGATATCACTGTGTCCACTTCACCCACGTACACATTTCACGCCCGCTTATTCGCCCTCAAACCATGTCTGGTGACAACAAAAGATCTGTTGAAGAGAAAGTGTCGTCGTCGGCCCCAGATCCTGTTGGCGCCGACGACGCGATCGACGACACCGACGACTTGGATGACGACCACGTTGAGATCCAAAAGACTATTTCGAACTCACGGAAGCGTCATAGTCTCAAAAACGGCGACATCAAGGTCCAAGACGTGCTACCCTTTCCCTTCCTGCCCAACATCCGGCCCTTGACTGTTTCAGACCTGGAAAGCTGCGTTGCGCTCGAGAACGCGGCGTTTACTGATTCGAAGCATCGATGCTCACGTGAAAAGGTGAGCTTTCATGCGTGTTGATCGAACTTCTTTCGGATTCTATTATATGCATGTGTAAACCAAAAAAGCTGTTTTGGGGTTGCAATCGGCTGTCTTAGGTTTGCAATGTCTTTGGCATAATCAGCCTGCTGACAAAAACTTACAGTTTGAATACCGCCTGTCGAGCTGCCCCGAGCTCTGCATGGGCATCTTTTGTACCGTCTCGCCCGAGGCGGCCAAGGGCTGGGAGATCGAGACGTGCAAGACGGCGCATCCCGTGGAGACGGGGCGAGACGACGGCTCCGTCAGCGTCATGTTTGCCCACATTGTCGGCACGCGCTGCCATGGCGAGCTCGTCACGGACCAGGACATGGACTACCCGCGCGACTTTCGCACCGTCAAGACCAGCCGGTCCAACATTGGCCACCAGGAGGACGGCCGTACCGTGGCCATCCACTCTCTGGCCGTCCATCCAAAGCTACAGGGCTGCGGGCTGGGCAAGCTCATCATGAAGGCCTATATGCAGCAGGTCAACAATTCTGGCACAGCAGACCGCATTTCACTGATTTCCCAGAGTGTAAGTATTGCGATTAACTATATCTGCACAAAAAAAAAAAAAAAAACATTGCTCTGACACATCAAGTATCTCGTCAACTATTATACGCGATTTGGCTTTGTGCATAAAGGCGAAAGCCAGGCTAGCTTTGGCGGTGGTGGATGGCATGACTTGGTAAGTTTGAGTTTCCTGTTTTGAGTCTACAGCCTTATTATGCCATTACTAACTTGTTTAAAAGACGATCACCTTGTCCGGTCCATCTAGTCCATAGCAATGAGAAAGTTTTGCTACTCGATCCGGGAAGAGTTATTGCAATTTGAAGCATACTGATGCGGGTTGCTAGAGTATGTTCATTTCTTCCGAAGCTGTTTAGTAATTGCAGCCGTGGAGCTATTTATACCAGGCTATCCGCGAATGCTGAATGTTCCGCTTCGGCTATTTCTTTCATCTGATGTGTACGGAAAGGCAGGGTGTTACTCTCTTACCACCAGGCGTGGGGTCAAATGGCGTTGCTCCTAGACAGTCAAGTTGATAGACGTGTGGATGTATGGTAGCGGATATTACTTGCCAATAGATTAAATCATGATCAACTCGCCCAAACCCGCAACCATCCTTTTATAAATGTTGTACACGTGGTGTAAGACCTTTGTAGAAGTACAGTCGAACGGAATGTATACAAGTTGCGAAAAGCTACTCAATTTGTTTTACTTGTTTTTTTTTTCCCCTTCCCTTCTTGTCTATATTCATATCATTGTCCGGTATGCAGGTTGAGTTCTCCATTTGATCTAGTCGCTTGCACCGTACTTTGCTCGGTACTCCTCTATCCTCTTGAGATCATCCTCAGTGGCGACGCCGCTCTGCTTGAGGCCGCGGAAGATATCGTCGAGCTTGAGTACAGCGACAATGGGGATGCCGAATTCCTGACGCAGCAGGCCAATGGCGGAGCCGGTGCTATCGGGCAGGGTCTCCTGGCGGTCCAGGGCAACGACGATGCCGACGACGGTGCCGCCCTCGGCCTGAATCTTGGCCACGGCCTCGCGCTTGGCCGTGCCCGCCGATACCACGTCGTCAATGATCAGGACCCGGCGGCCCTTGAGCGGTGCGCCCACAATGGAGCCGCCCTCGCCGTGGTCCTTGGCCTCCTTGCGGTCAAAGGAGTATTCGAGCTTCTTGTACCGGGCATCGACCTGGGCCAGGGCAAACGTGGTTGCCGTCGCCAGCGGGATGCCCTTGTAGGCCGGGCCAAAGATGACGTCGAAGGGCAAATCAGAGGAGCCCGAGGAGGAGGCAAAGGACTCGTGGATGGTGTGGGCATAGGCAAAAGCCAGGGCGGACAAGAGATCGGCTCGGTAAAAGTCACCAGCGTTGAAGAAGTATGGGGAGATGCGGCCCGATTTGAGAGTGAACTCGCCCAGACGCAGACACCGGCCGTCGAGGGCGGCGCTGATAAAGTCGGTCTTGTACTGAGGAATGGAAGCCATTGTGCGTATAAGTCAATACGGGACTCGTGTGAGTGGAAAAAAAAAAAGGTCAACAGAACTACAAGAAGAAAGAGGGGGCAAGCAGATGGTCAGGAATCTGCACACTCGACTTGAAAATGGATTGAACAGTAGTAGCCTGTCTCGTCAGAACTAAAAGAGTGAGTAAGTAAAATGCTATTCTAGACATGTAGTTCCTCTACCAAACTCTACTACCTAAGAGCGAAGCGCTTCCTTCAATGGAGGGGTCCGATAGTGGGATGTCCTGTCCCGCCTTTAGAACTTTTTTTTTTATTTTTTCTCCTGCTCATAGCGGATTGGGGATGCTTTGGGTCTCGACCCCGCCAAAATGGCCCACGTTTCCAATTCGAGGTCCCTTGCTTGGCTGTGTCAGCGATAAGATAACGAAAGAATTAGCGCCAAGATTTCGAGCCACCCGCTATCGAAATTTTGACTTTTCACTCCGCCTTTTTTTCTGAGAAAGTCCCAGGTGCCGCCTCTGCCCATCGATAACGGCAAGGTGAGAGATCGATTCAAACAACCACCACGTTCTCCTTTCAACCTTGACCTTTCCGATAGACATTCTTCCACTCTTTCCAACGAGCAAGGTTTGATCGGTTGGCAAGATGAAGACTACCTGGAAGGACATCCCCCCGGTGCCGACGTCGCAGGAGTTCCTCGACATCGTGCTGTCGCGCACCCAGCGCCGGCTCCCGACGCAGATTCGTTCGGGTTTCAAGATCTCTCGTATCCGAGGGTTCTACACCCGCAAGGTCAAGTTCACCCAGGAGACCTTTAGCGAGAAGTTTTCTCAGATCCTCGAGAGCTTCCCCCGACTGGAGGACATCCACCCTTTCCACAAGGATTTGTTGAACACACTGTACGATTCCGACCACTACAAGATTGCTCTTGGTCAGCTTTCCACCGCCAAGCATCTTATGGAAAGTATCTCGCGCGACTATGTCCGCCTTCTCAAGTGTGAGTATCTTCCACGCAACCGCCATTTTCGAATCTAGCGGGCGCTAATCGTACCAAACAGACGCCCAGTCACTTTTCCAGTGCAAGCAGCTCAAGCGCGCCGCTCTTGGTCGCATGGCTACGCTCCTGAAGCGTCTCAAGGACAGTCTCGCCTACCTGGACCAGGTCCGCCAGCACTTGGGCCGTCTGCCCTCGATCGACCCGAACACCCGCACCCTGCTCCTCTGTGGTTTCCCCAATGTCGGAAAGTCGAGTTTCCTCAAGTCCATCTCACGCGCCGATGTCGAAGTGGCACCCTACGCCTTCACCACCAAGTCGCTGTACGTCGGTCACTTTGACTACAAGTACCTGCGGTTCCAGGCCATCGACACTCCGGGTCTCCTGGATGGTCCTCTCGAGTCCAAGACGACAGTCGAAATGCAGTCCATTACTGCCATTGCTCACTTGAGATCCGCCATTCTCTGTAAGCATTATACCTGAAAAATTGCTACGGCTATAGAGGCAATGAATTGTTTTCTAACCACTTATGATTGCAGATTTCATCGACTGCTCGGAACAGTGCGGTTACCCAATCAAGGCACAGATTGAGCTCTTCAAGAACTTGAAGCCCCTTTTCTCCAACAAGCTTGTGTTCATTGTCTGCAACAAGATCGATATTCTGAAGCCTGAAGAGCTTGACGCCCAGACAACCGAGGAATTGCAATCTCTCCTGAGCGGTGGTGACGTTGAGCTGCTGCAAACTTCCTGCAACACCCAAGAAGGTGTGCAGGATGTCAAGAATGCCGTCTGTGAACGCCTCATCGCCGAGCGTGTTTCCCAGAAGTTGAAGGCCGGTACAAGCAGCAGCGGTGCTGTCGGTGGACGCCTGGCAGACGTCATGGCCAGAATTCACGTTGCTCAGCCCATGAACGGCGTTGTGCGCGAAACATTCATTCCAGATGCTATCAAGGAGCTCAAGAAATACGACAAGAGCGACCCCGAACGCCGCAAGCTGGCTCGTGACGTCGAAGAGGAGAATGGGGGTGCTGGTGTGTACAACGTCGACCTCAGGGCTGATTACATTCTCGACAATCCCGAGTGGAAGCATGACAGGATACCCGAGATCTTTGACGGCAAGAATGTCTATGACTACATTGATCCAGAAATTGATGCCAAGCTGCAGGCTCTGGAGGAAGAGGAGGAACGTCTTGAGGCTGAGGGCTACTATGACTCGGATGAGGAGGTTGATGATGCCGAAGAGGCTGATGTCCGCTCCAAGGCCGAGCTCATCAGAGAGAAGCAAGCTTTGATCAGAAACGAAGCCAAGATGCGCAAGTCGCTCAAGAACCAGGCCATCATTCCTCGCAAGGCTATGAAGAAGCCCTTGTCGGAACTCGAGGAACACCTCGATGTTTTGGGTGTGGACACAACCGATCTTGGTCTGCGGGCACGATCCAGCACACACGAGCAGCGTGGACGATCCATGTCTAGGTCTCGCCTGGGCACTGAAGTATCGGATGCCATGGATGTCGACTCTACTCCTCAGGAGAGGTTCCGCTCCAAGAGCAGAGCCATGAGCAGAGCGAGAAGCGAGGCAGCGACGAACCGCCGTGAGGATGGTGTGACGGACGAAGTCACAAGGACGTCGGCCGAGAGAGCATCCAAGGTTGCCCAGAGGAAGATGAACCGCATGGCCAGACAGGGTGAGGCCGACAGACACATCGGTGCAGCAATGCCAAAGCATCTCGTGAGTATTCCCAGCCCCTTGAGCACAATATACAATTTACTGACTGAATATCTAGTTTGCTGGCAAGCGTTCCATGGGCAAGACATCTCGACGATAGAGGGTGGAAATAATGGAGGTTTGTTCTGTTGTCCATATTATGCATAAGACAGGGTATGACTTATCGAATCGGCGTTCAGGCGTCCGTGAAACAAAAACCAGGATGTTTGTTAGTTTGCAAGACATATTTTTATAGTCGAGCTGTTTATATACCCCTAAAAAGGCTAACCATACCGATTGTGATCATATGTCATCCTCCTGACACGACCTTGGGATGGAGTTGAGAAAAGCTTTGAAGTGAGCACAATTTCAGTTAAATGTTGGAGAGACTCTATCTCCGGCTTTTAAAGTTTTTCGTGTGTGCAGCTAAGCAGGAAGAAGGCAGCTTGCATATCTTGAAGAGCTCTAACTGACACCGAATAAATACTTGTTATCTGATATATCAAGTTCAATGTGTTTTTTTTTAAAGCCCTTTGGGTAATGTAGTGTCCCAACGGTGGTTGCCATGTAAAATCTGGAGGACCCTGATGAGCTTTTAGCTACCGCCCACTTGCTCTCTCCCAACGCGGGGCACAAAAGTTTGTGGGGTCAGCGTACATTTGCTCATAGGTTGACTCACATGCATCATTGATTTATTTTGCTACACCAAACCTCTGCCTCATTCACAGCTTCTTCTTCCTGGTTATTCCACCTCTTAATTCCGTCGCATTCGCAGATTGCAACAATAGCCATGGCAAACGATGGCGATGCTGGTTCGGCCACCAGCGACCTGCCTCTGCGCGGCGTAACCAGCAGCAATTCGAATGCTGAACCTTTCGAGTACGATGACCTGCCCTGTCCTACTTGTTACCATCTCTTTCCTGCTTCTCTGATTGCGGGTGACCACATTGCAGCTACCCCTCCCATGCGATACACATTTCATGCTAACCTCATGCCTCACTATACAGCATCGTGGCGACCTACTACCGCCTCCTCGCCGAGGACTCCGACCTCACCATGCCCATGGCAGCCATTGAGGCCCTGATCGAGTTTCTGGGCCACAACCAAGTCAAGACCGTCTTCGAGACTATTGATCTCGTCAAGATGCAGAGCACCAAGCTGCAGTTGGGCGTCCCCAACCCCATCGCCCTGTCCCACGGCACCGACCTGTTTCAGCAGTACCTCATCATGCAGCTGAAGCAGCCTAATGCGCCGGGCGGCGCCGCGGCGGCCAAGGACGATAACATCAACAAGGACCCCGACGCCCGCTTCGAGGAGACGCGCCAGAGCCTGCTCCGCAACGGCCGCCTGTTTGCCGCCCGCGCCAAGAACGGCCGCGAGCGCATCGCCGTCAACGCCCGCCGCTACATCGAGGACGGCGCCACCATCCTCACCCTCGGCGGCAGTCGCGTCGTCGGCACCCTGCTCGGCCGCGCCGCCGAGAAGCACGACTTTGGCCACTTTATCGACGAGCCGATCCGCTTCCGCGTTATTTACGCCATGGACCCGGCCCTCGAGGTCGAGAGCAACAAGGTGGTCGCGGCCCTGCGCGCCAAGGGCGTCTCAGTGGCCACGATCCCCCTGAGCGCCGTTGCCTTTGCCATGCAAAAGGTCGACATGGTGGTTGTGGGCGCCGAGGCCGTGACGGCCAATGGCGGTGCCATCTCGCGCCTCGGCACGCTCCAGGTCGCCCAGCTGGCCAAGGCCGCCCGCCCGCAAAAGCCCTTTTACGTCGCCGCCGAGCAGCACAAGTTTGGCAAGACACTCCCGCTAAACCAGTTTGACTTTGGCCAGTTTGTCCGCAACTTTGACCAACAACTCCTCGATTTCCATGCCAGCAAGAAGGAAGAGGGCGCCGAGGCAAAGCCGCGGCCCAAGCCCCTGGAGAGCCCAGTCGACTACACGGCACCTGATTACATTGACGCATTCTTCTCCGACCACAAGGTCCTGACGCCTATCGAGGTGGCGAAGGAGGTAATTGACATGCTGATGTAGATTGCCAGCCAATAAGGACGGAAGGCAAGCTTTGGTTTTGTTTGTGACAGCATTTGCAACGGCGTTTTCGGTAGGGATGGAAAAGATTCCCCAACAAGGGGGGAAAAAGAAATGGTTGATTGCGTGGATGGCTATAAAGTATTAGTTGTTGAGTTTATCAGACAGCCCCAAGGGGTTCAAGAGACAAGTCGCATAACAAGAGCTTCGACGACCACACGATACATCGTTTGGAGTTTGCTGGCATGCTAGTTTGTTTGATGCACATATACATAAGAAGCAATTCAGGCTCAGTGAATAATAAATGACTAAAACGATTACCAAGAGCTTAAAGACAACGTCAGGCAATGCGGTGGTGGCATGTTCCAGCGATGGAAACAGCCGGAAAGATCTGCTATGGAAATGTTTATGCAAGAACCTGTTTCGTATTCAATTTGGAGTACAGTAACGTGATACTTTTGGACATGACTTTGACAAAAGAAGATTTTCACCTGTCGCCGACACGGCGCACTTATCGTTTTAAGTGACCATGATAATGAGACCTGATTGATGCCAAAAGAGCTGAGCCAAGGAAAAGACTGATACAATAGCCCAGAAGAGACGCCGGCCCAATGTGGATGAGATGAGGGATCATTTTGGTTCATGCAGCCCAGAAACCGACGCCTCCGTGTCCCTTTGGAAATGAGAATCGGAAGAAAAGAAAAGAAAAACACCACATGCTATGTCACGAGAAGGACAAGAGAATAGATACAGAAAAGTGATGTTGAATCACTCGGATATACCAGAAGAAATCATGCTTGTTGGTGGGTCTAATGCCTTTGCTCTCTCTTTCCAGTGTTGAAGGCTGGTTAATGGTGACGAGTGAGCGTATAGGGCCTAAGAGTCACGAACGAGTCTGGCTCCTACCCATGCATAGGGATAATTTCGTTGATACCAATTGACGCTTTAGTCTTCTTGTCAGTCATCGAGTCGAGTAGTCATGTCTTCTCGGGGGAGCGGAAAAAAAGACTCACAAGGATTTGCGCCCTGCGATGCGAGGATGCGTGGCCCAGGAACCACCGAGGACAACATTGTGCTTTCCATCAAAGAAGTCGGCTAGATACAACGTCAAGTCAGTAAATGTCGTCATCCAGCTCAATTATTATGCATAGGGAATCCGAAAACGTACAGGTGTAGGCAGGATACAGGGCCATTGGCTCGAACCCCTCATGCCGAGTCAAATGAGAGCTGGTCCATTCCCAAACACCGCCCATCTCGGACTGGCCAGCTAAGCGGTTGCCGCGGGACGTTATGGGCATTGGATGCCAATGGTTGAAACCGACATTGGAACCTTCGAGGTCAACGAAGGAGTCGTCATTTTCGGACGCCTCTCCATTGACCTGCATGCCGAAACCTCGTGATGGTGGTGTCTCCTCAACACCGTCGTTGACGAGATGTCTATTGTGCCCAAACGTCAGTCGTTCAAATCCACCACTAGCAGCGAATACACGTGGGGATGTGCTTACCCGTTTACTGCCGGTACTGTCTTGCCGAGCTTACGCTCTGCTTCCTTCTTCTTCAGGTAATCGACGTAGGCATATACGCTCCTGGCTTCCTCAAAGGTTGGAATACGACCGCCCATCCAAGCAGCACAACCCGCCAACTCATCATAAGAGGCAAATACAGGCCAATCTAGAGCATACTCTAAAGGCACAAGACCGTAAATGGTTCGAACTGTCTTGTCATCCAAGAAGGATGAGGGCAGCAGAGTAGAACCAGTATCGTGGCTACCATTCACGTGGCCGTTGACGTGGCCATTTGCGTGGCCGTTCGCTTGCCCGTTAGTGTGCTCGTGACTGGTCCCGTTGCTACCATTGACGTGATGTTGCGGTGCCTCGGCCCAGGATGCCGGGATCTTGGTTACCTTCGTCTCGTACATGTAGTAGGCATACTGGCATCAGGTTAGATGAAGTTGTTTGCGGCACCAGAAGAAATATCCTACCTCTTCGTTTGTGATTGGTCGCCCTTTTGCCTGGAAAGACTTGACATTTATTTTACGAGCCGGTTTCTCGTTATCCCTTTGGTGTGTCAGTTACTTTAACTTTAATATATTGCTTGTTCAACACCCTGTCGACAACTTACCAGCCAAAGTGCCCTTTAAATCTCTCGTCATCCTCAGGGTCGTTCAGCCCAACGAGTATGTGCTGCTCGGGGATGGTGAACCATTCATTCGCCGTCCTCTCGGCATATGCTTTCCGGGCAAGGCCTTTGAAATCTGGACGAGGTATATGAGGCGGGGGCAGGGTCTTGTCACTCTGTAGCATCATGTAAAGAAGTGTTTCCATGTGCATCAACTCATGCTCATATCCCACCCAGATGGCTCTTGCTACGTCCCGGGGTATACTTTCTGGGCCATGTGAGTAGAGTCCGGTCAACCTGACACGCACATTGTTCTGGTAGCGTAGGATGTCTGCTTGCTTAGGCCACTCATCTGGAATTTCCGAATGGCTGTGACAGTGCTCTGGGTTGTCCACATCTGGGTCGATACCCCTTTCGAATATTGCAGAATACGATACAGGCTCAGTTGGCGGTTGTTTCGTAGTCTTGGTCAGCTGAATGTCTAGGAAGGTTGGTATGTGGCCAAGGTAGAAAATACAAGCATTTCTCAGCTTGATTGGTTTCTCCAACAACTCCTCATCGGGCAGCATTCGTTGTGTGACGGTGTCCCATGTCGACCAGAGAGCCTTCCAATCATCTAGAGTTGGCAGTACGGAGCCGGCGTATTGGCGCGGGTCCAGGCTGAATGGCATAGTCGTAGGCTTGGTCAACAAATGAAGTCCTGCCGGCGTGTTAGATTGACTAGTCTCTGCGACTCGGCTTCCTTAAATGGTGGTGGGATTGGGCGGTGCAGTCATGTGTTACGGGAGAGGTCGCAATGTAACAGTAAGACAATAGAGAGTCATTGTCAGACAAGTGGAACCAATGTGGTTTGATATACACGCGACAAACGTGGGGAACGCCTTGCTTTTTTTCTTTTACATCGCGGAACGGATGTACAGATCGAACAGGCAGACTTCCTGTTCTGAATAGGGCAAAAGGCGGGCGGTAGGGATGAAGGGTACCTGACTTACCGTACTCGTTGTTGTCCGTCATCCATCGGTCCGTCTCGACTACTCCTGCTTCAGACCACAGTTTCTTCATGCCATCTTCCGAGTACTTCAGGCTCTGTTCAACCTGAATTCGCTCCTGTGCCTTAATATTCTCGCCCAGGATAGTCACATCGCGAGACGGAGAATAGAAAGCCTGATGGCGGCCGCCCTCAACGTCATAGACGTATTCGCCAATAACCTGCCATTCATCGAGGTTGAATACCTCGTCCTCGAGGACCTCATTCGCATGACGAAGACCATTCAGAATGAACCTCAGCTGGTCAGCAGCTGATGCCAGGTTTATGGTCAAGCGACTACACTCACTGATGGGTTACGCCGTGTCGGTCTAGATCAGATAGTAGATCTTAGCACAGCTCAAGAGCAGCCACCACCACAAGTGATACTAACCATTGTATGCATGACTGCATCGGCAATTAGCTATCAAGAAAGAGGCTACTGGTAAGTATGGCAGTCAAGACTCTCGTAACATACTAGACTTTTGACGGATTCGTGCACGAGTCCAGTCCCAGCAGGAATGTGTCTGAAGGCTGAAGCACATCCGAGAAGCTCCGGAGAAATGCGGCAGCATCAGAGCGGTGGAAGTTGCCTGTGTCAATTGTGGTGAGTATTCAAAAAAGAAGGATTGATAAATTGATGCAAAGTGACTGACCAATGCTTGACCCCAAACTCATGACACACTTTGGCCGTGCTGAGACGGATGAATTCTTTAGCCACACCCGACCATCATCGTAGGTGCCGTGCAAGCCATGGCATGTGACGAAGCGAAATGCTGGTACCTGGGCCAGAGTGCGCTCGAGTTCCCGCTTGTCCAGATCCAGAGCATAGTAGTCAATGTCTTTTCCAGCATCCTCTAGAGCTTGGAGCAAGATTTGTACTTTTCTCAAGTTGCCAGACCCAAGCTCGACGACCATGGACCCTGAGGGGATGGCCTTGGCAATAGCCTGGGCAGAGCTTCTAAGCACTTGTATTTCCGAGTTGGTCAGGTAGTATTCTTCCAAATAGGTGATCTTTCTCTAGAGTTAGCCTGGGAAGGCCAAGTGTCAGTTCCTGGGCATATTTTGTTTACCTGTTCGAACAACTGCAGACCCCTTTCATCGTATAGTAGCAGGGTTGGGAGTTTTCGTGGGCCTTCTTGGGGCCGCAATAGTTGGTGAATTTCCTCCTTGAGGTTCAACTCCACAGCCGCCTGGCGGATATCAATGATATCTAGACGCCTCGATGACTTTGGATTTTTGGACAAACCCTTGCTGAGCTCAAAGGCGGTAGGGATGGCCTGGGACTCGTAGAACATTTCCGTGGCAGAAGGCATTATTGCCGGAAAGCACAATGTCTCAAGCAGCAGTATGAAAGGTCTTTTTCTTTGGAATCGACGCAAGGGAAAAGGGTTCGTGAAGTTATAAAGTTGCACGGAAATGTCTGGAGAAGATATATAAAAGAATGCCCGTGAGGTAGCAAGTACCCTCGGAAGCAAGCCACGAGAAATAGAAACGGCTCTTGCATGCTGGTCAAAGCTAATACACAACCATGTCGATTATTTGCAGCAAGAGCCCCTCTACCGGCATGAAACTTCATTCGCTCTGGATGGTGATGTCAACCGCGGGTACCAGTCAAAGTTCTATGGACCGATGCGGCCAGCTCATTCGCTCCGAATACTGGAGCTGGTAAGCCATCGATGCGCTAGGACATATGGTCGGACGAGCTGTCTCTCTCGGGAGACGCCTTACTGCGGGCACCGCGTTGGGGAAAAGGATTGCATTGCGAGGGCTGGCCGGGAACAGGCCACGAGCGTTGCAAGTTGATGCGACGTACCTACCTTCATCTTTGCTGCATTACCTGGCAGACTTAGCTACTTGCTTGATCTTCTCATTGGGGCCGCTCTGAGGAAGCCGAGCAAGGTGCGGGCAGAAGCCAATTGTAGTAGTAGTAGCAGTAATAGCTCGGTATGCTGGGAGGTAATGGGGTAGTAGGGAAAATGGCAAGTATTGGTAGCGCGAGTACCTACCTGCCTTGCCCTTGGCGTTGCACAAGACACGCACGCTATGTTAGGCACTGGGAGTCGGGAACGCTAGGCACGCCCTTTGCTCGTGTGTGCGAGCTTCGCTGGGTCCAGGGCAAATCAGGAACGCGAAGGCCCCTACGTAGGAATACCAGGCTGTGAGATCCATGAGATGCATGCAACCCCCGCAAGACTTAGACAAACCCTGGGGACTGTAGTGCCTCACATGATGCGCTTCTCGCTGAGAAGGGCAACCTTTTAGCTCCATACGTGCCTGGGGGCTGGGTTAACTGCTGCTGTGACTTGTTCTCTAGATGGGGCGCTGAACTGGTCCTGGTTTTTTTGCGGTGCCAATGGAAATCCATCTTGGGGGGGACTTGTCAAAAAGGTTGGCAGCCGTGCGCCAGTAGATACTAGTAGTAGTAATCTGTACGTAGTGAATCCGGGTGGGTCCTCGATGGGTGGTGGTCTCACGACCTGAAAAGAAGCAAAGATGGACCTGAAGATCACTCGAGATATATTCCGTAGCATTGGTCCTGTTTGCAATGCTCACGGCCGGTCAGAGTGCTACTTCCCCAAAATCACGAGACTTTAGAAGATGGGTTTTGTTCAGCATATTCGCAAGTGTCGACCCTGGAGCAAACCCATAAAGAATAGGAAATCAAATCAATCATACCCTGTATCTAATGCTTGCTCATCAGTGACATTGCATCAGTCAATACCTACAGTCATCAAACCCAGTTCAAAGTACCTGCCTTAAAGTACCGCCCGTACCCATTGCGAGGCAGCCCAGGTGCCCGGTTGTAGCGGAACACCTGATGTGATGACTATCGTCAAAAAGGAAACCATAAGACCCAACTCTGTTTCTTAGTGTGGGGGTTTAAGGGAAAAAAGAGAGAGAGGTGCAGCACGTGTAGCCGAGATCGACGAGATTCGATAGAGTAATCAATCGCGAGAATAAAAAAGAGTTGGTCACACGACGGGCTGGACAATTGGAAACACGTCGCCTCCAGTCAGAAATAAACAGAAGGAAATGGCAATAGTATACATGATGGATAACCTGTCTGAAGGAAAGCACATCCAGGTGTAGGCAGCCAGTAATTTATTGTGGGAAAGTTCAAATGCTGCTGCCATTTTGCACCCCCTCGGTACCTTCTACAGGCACAACGACAAGGACGAATGACAAGCCCTCTAAAAAAGAAGTTCCCCAAGTAGATAATTCAGATGGGTCATGGAAACGACGCTGTTGCCAGACCCGCATTGCTTGATGACCTTCAGATTTTGCTCTGCCTCCCTCCTTCTTCTCCAGTTTGCCAATACCCTCCCTCCACAGGTGCGTGCTTATTACATTGCTTACATATTGTATGTAAAGTACATCACATTACATTACATTGCCTACCGGAGTAACTCGTACCGCCAGGTTGATTAATTTTTTCCAGCACCTGTACCCATCAAATCCCACGGCGTCCTCTCGGTCTGTTCGTCACGATATCGTCAGACCGCTATGCACCTGACCGTCATCCAGGTCTTAAACCCACGTCGTCGCTGACCGACTCCCGTTGCTGAGACTCCAAATGCCGAACCGAGCCAGAAAAGGATTCATTCAGCCATGGCTAAGCACGAGAAGTATCAATGGTTCGATTTCCGAAATTCTGATTCCCTCTGCTTTTCTTTTAAACTCCACATCCACATCTACCCCTCATTGCCCCTCATTGTCCAGTTCCTCCGCATATACTCACTCGGTCTCGTGAGATTTTGCTTTTTGAGGGAGGCTACATTCATTTTGTTGTAGGTTGAAAAGTCTAGTTATCTGCAGCCCTGGGGGCGCCTCGCGGGAATCAATGTGTGACTGCACCCGGTCACTAGCTACGCACTGGAAGTCCCAGCAAGTCGTCTCGACCACTAATGCATCGGAAGCCATAGTCGTATTCCGAGAGGTCGCCCTGCAGGCTACCGAATAGGATGCTCTGGACCTGGCTTTGTGGGGAAGTTGACAGGCGAGCAAAACAGGCGGGTAAAACCTGCATCCAGTATGTCCAACCATCTACATAACCTACGTACATACATGTAAGTAATAATATCAAGTTCGCTCCAGTTGTCAAATATGGCTTCCAGAACAGCCTAACATCGGAGAATTTTCTTCATTTCACCTATTCGATCGACAGCTCAAAGGACCTTGAAAAACACACGCACATTGGATGAAAACCCCCCCTTACCGTACGTCCTACTACATGACGGGCTATAGCCGGACACGGACTGGTGTCTTATACATCCCCAATAAGTTTCTTCTACCGCTAGAAGCGACCCAATACCTTGAAACATACCGTCGCACAACACCATATTGAGGAGCACATTGGAGCATCGATTACATCACGACGCCATCCTTGTCAACCGGAGGTGGTGTCGTGTAAAATCGCCCATACTGCGCACTTAGAGAGACACGTGGGACCGGTAAGCGTCCCCGAACTTGTACTGCACGACAGCGTCTCACTCAACGTGCTCGGCTCGGCGGTATAGGAAATGGCCTGTTGGAACAGGTCAAATTGCAGATCCGCTGACTGGAAACAACGAACCGGAGACTTTTAACGAATTTAGCTGACCTGTAGCCACGGATGATAACTCTTGAGATGATCTCAATCCCCAAGCCTTAATCGCCTTCCTGAATGGGGGATCCCGCTGTCGCGGCATACGAAAATGAAACTCATGGCCAGGTAAGGATCGCCGATCGATACTACAATAACACCCTCCTCCAGCGGTGGCCTAGCCCTGTAAATCGGGCCCAGTCCACGAGGCAAGAGCCTCCTCGACGTCACATCTGTCAGCCGGGTCCCAAATAGTCGTGCGTCCGATGCACGGAAAATGTGCTTGTGAAGCCATTTGGATCAAATCATGACTTAGGTCGCGTATCAGGTCTGGCAAAAGCAGACTGCCAGACTTACCGTGGTGGGATAATCAATTAGAACATGCACTTGATAGGTAAGCGAATTCCAGTGATGGATAACCCAAGATCAGCATCTTCAAATTCTCCTTTCTATTTTATTCTTCTATTTGTAAACAAGGTGTCATTCATGTGAGCTTCATGCCATTGCAAGATGGAAAGCAAATACCAACGCCGTCGAGATGCACGCTTCATGTAAGTCAGTGTTTCGTTTTCATAAGCCTTTAGGCTATTCCTCTTCCACCATCTACGCCTTTGATGGCTTCTCCCACTCATCAAGCCAGCAGCGCATTTGCTCGAGAGCAGCTTGGATGATCGGCCACGTGTTCTCGTCGTCCTCGTCGATGAACAACTCGGGGACGTGCACTCCGCCCTTGACAATATAGACCGGAGCGTCGGTTGTGTTGACAGGGCCGCCAGGTCTATAGTCGCTGGACAGCGTGGCGGATCGCCAAGGGTCGAACTCGCCATTGACGAAGAAGACGCGCTTGTACGCTGCATCCCAGCCCTGGGTGTAGGCATTGAGATGCTCCTCAGTGAAGCCAGTCACCATGCCGGATACATACCCGTTGGTCTCGGGGAAGGTGAGCGGGCAGCGCCGAGCATACTGCTCAGGGCGAAGTTGAGCGGAGACAATGTTAGTACCATCTGACTCCGGTGGTCCATTCTGGTACCACCCAAAGGGTTCGTTACAAAGCATCCATTGCCAAGGTCTGTTGTCGTCCAGCTCATCTGGCGTGTCCCACTGGATCTGATCGTTCCATGTATTGCAATCCTCGCCGCCATCACCACATCCAGCTGTCTTGTTGATGTAGGCGGCATACGCATCAAGTGCAGCGACCAAGCCAATACCAGCGCCGTTGTTCAAGATTGCCTTGCTGTGGCCTCCCGACGTCTCGAGGTAGTCGCAAAACTCAATAACCGCGTCCTGGTCGCCTTGCCATTCTGAAATGGGGTTGGCAACCGTGTCGGCAAAGTCCATGGCGTTGAGGTCCCCGAGGTTGAACTTATCCTTGAGCTCCTGGATGTCGTCATCATCACCATTCTCGAAGACGTAGTCAATGTGCTGAACAACTGCCTTCACATCATTGCTGCAGTTGGTTGGCAGTGCCTGCTGAATAGGAGAGAAGTACTCCCAAAAATCGTAGATTGCCTCCACCACAGCCGACGATGCGTGGTATGCGTGGAAGACACCAGACTCCTTTTGAGAAGTCCACGCCGCAAGGGCGCCACTGTAAGAACCACCAACGAGGACCCAAGGGACATCGTTGGCATTGCAATCACCCTCCTCGCAAAACTCGAGGTCGGCATTGAGCGCAAAGTTCGTCATGTCCTTCATCGCGTTAGGCAGATTTAGGTATTGCAATGTCTCGGCAGTGAGGGTATCGAATGGCACGGACTTTCCCCAGTAGCGGTCTGATCCAAGAGTGTAAGTGATTTGCTTTGAATGATCAAGTGACAAACTTACGCTCAATAACGATAGCGGCACCATTGAACTCTTGAGCATAGCGGCCTGGGACCGTGTCATTGCCCAAGTAACCAATCATGCCATCAGCTGCCGATTCTCCGGGATTGAATAGAAAGACAGGTCCGCCAGTCTTGTAATTCGATCCATCCCACCAATATCTCTGCTCAAATGTCCCCAAGGATGGGTCTGAATGGTCCACATACTGTTCGAATGTGGCGTTGCCGACCAGGTCGAGATTTTCCATCGATGCCGTTTTGAGACCGAAATGCTTCGACCGTTTATGGATATCTCTAGCCTTCAAGGTCGCCATTGAGGGCGCGACGCATGCCAAAAATGGCAGCGCTGACGAAAAGGTCGCCTTCATTGCGAATTCGGCACCCAATCCAGAATATAAGGTAAAATGCTATTGAGGCCTAAGAACAGCCAAAGATGTGAGGGAGTAGGGCGTTGGCAAGTATAAGACAACTGGCTCCGGAATAATTAGTCTATGGCAAAACTTATAGATTACAAGATTAGAGGGTATATGAGCAGTGATGAGAAACAATTCCGAAATGTTGGATGTGGCACACGCTTGGTCATATATGCTCTGTTCTGATCCATTCCGAGCATCATGAGCCACCAGCACAGCACACAGCGAAGGATCAGTACTAATTTGATGATGAGAACCACTTGGGCTATCTGTCGGCCGCCTGCATTTCCACGATCATGGTCTTGCAGCTCAGGGACTTGGACTTCACTGCCTGGGTTCTTTTGGCCTAGCAAAGAGTCCGTCCTCTCAGCCCCATCTATCTAGCAGGGGAGCCATAATAGCGCGCTTATTCGGTCCACCATTCCAGTCCAGTCAATGGACCAGCAGGTCGCTCAGTCGCGATGGATTTCAGATCGCCCAAAGCTGCGCCGCCCGGTGCTGACCGCTGGCGCTGGATGCGGATAGTAGTTTAGAGCAAGGGACCGCATGATTGGGACCAGCGCCGACATGCCTGCATGTTCAGTGCTAGCCAAGCCATAGTAGGGCTATTTTCTTTCCCTCTCCTCTTCCCCCAGTTCTGCGCCGCCACCAAATTCCCGATATCATGCCAGCTTATGGCTGACCGCCGGGTTCACTGCCAAGACGTGCCGTTCTCTCTCACTTGCAGCGATTGCTCATAAAAAGACTGGAGTTTTGAAACAGAGGAATCGGGGACAAGTTGGGCTATGTCCAGTCGGATCAAATGATGGATGTCCATTTCTAGCCAATTGGGACGAGATTTGGTTGAGGCAGGGCCCCCGGGTACGGAGCCGAAGTTTTCTGTATGATCCGTTTAAAAAAGAAGCTTAAAGGTAACCTATTTTTTACGCCTCCCAGATTCGTTGCTATTTTTGGGTCTGCCAGCTAATAAGCGGGTGCCCAACTTTTTTGGTGAGCTTTTCTTTCTGACTGGGCCCCCTGAAGGATAAACAGCACCAATCCCGCCCTGGCTAGCTGAGGTGTATAAGTCCCATTTGAGGCTGGAAAGACTCTCTTTAAGGGTACTGCTGAGTTTCTTCCTACATAGTACGCATGATATGAATAAGCTTGTTTTTGTTGTTCAAATTGCTTATTCACAAAAATAAAAATTATCAAGAATTTTCTGTCATGCACTGTGTAGTATAAGGCTGCTGCTGCTGTGAGGATGACCCAGTGTCACCCTCGTAGCACTACCCTGATATATGGCTACGCAATGGCCATGACATTCACAACAAAAGTCGTGGGTAACAAGCTTTGCGGCGCCGATAAGGCTATGTGACGAAGCGAGCCTCTCTAATAAATATTATTACCATGGGTGTTGTTTTGTTTGAGGCTTGTATTTGCTGGACTTTTGTACCATGTATGAAATCTGCACAATGTCTTTAATAAAGGGGGCTTATGCTTCTTACTGACCAGGTCGTATGTACCATGATGTCCTCTAGGGGCATGAATCAATTTTTTTTTTCCTTCTTCCGCTCTCTTTTCAGCTGGCCTTGGCAGCCGACCGAACTGGGGCCATGAACAGCTCATTCATTCAGAGGCAATGCCAATCAATGTGTTTTCATGCCTCCCAAAAATGGCAATCATGCTTGATCCCGATCAGCCTGTAAAGAAAAGCTTCGGGGAAGCTAAAAAGTGAACAAAGCCCCAGTGATCAACACTTGCAGACCTCTTCTTAGCAAGAGAGAGAGAGAGAGGACCTTTTGACACTAAACAAATCACTGCCATCCTAGACCTTGATCGCGTGGTGTATTTTTATCGCCACTATAAAGCCTAGCGGCCGCGGGGATAAACAAACATGACTTGTGATTGAGTTGAGGTGACCATGGACATTTTTCTTCATGTGCTCTTTTTTGCTCTGGCAGCAAACAGCCAATCACGGGTTCATCTGTAATGAAGTGCTGGCAGGTAGCTTCGATTTAATTTTGTTGAACAAATTCACACAGTTGGGTCATTGTCAGGTTCGGAATTGATATTTTTTTTTTTTCAGATTCTACCATGCTCCTGGCATATCGTTCAAATATTACAATACCGACTGCCTTCATGAATCGTGGCGTATTTGAAATGCAAACCTACAAACTCCTTCCCATCAGGCCAGAATACAAGAGTTTTTCTTCCTGAAAATAGAAATATCAAAGAGACAAACGCCTACGCCCGTGCCTGCTTCCTTGTCCGTGACAACGTGGTCCGTCATATCAAAAGTCATCGTTCAAGACAGCGTATCTCGAGGTCCTCTTGCCAGCCATGCCCTCCTCGGCAACCTTGCCGCTGACATTGCGTCGGTATGATCCCACGTAACCGCCTTTGCCACTTCCAAAATCAAAGTCGTTGCCACTCGATACTTGGCGCCCGGTGCCGACAATGACCGGTGGTGTGGCGGACCTGAGGTCGCCGTACGGCTTTGAGTAGAAGAGGCCTTCCTCGGCTTGGATGGACGAGTCCCTATTTCGCATCATCGTAGAGCCGGGTAGGCCCGCCGACTTCTGGTCCGCAATGTCCTGTGAGCCGCTAACCGAGCGCGAGTTGGACGAAATCTCGCCCAATGCATTACCGCGCGGGGTATAGTAAGGCGTCTTGGCGCGAGGGATCGGCTGACCGGCATTCTTCGGAGCATGAGGCGGCACAGTGGGAGCAGAAGACACGACCGAGGCTGGGTTTGAGCGCAGCGGGTTCGGGTGGCGGCCACTGCCACCCAAGATGCTGTCGTCCAGGTCGGAAACGTCGGCCGCGTCTGGCCGCATCATGTTCTCGCGATCCGAATCGTCGTCTGTGTCCTCGTCATAGCGCTGGGCCAGGGCCTCGTAGGCACGAGTTTTGCGTGCTACCGCCGCAGCCATGGCGCGCTGTTTCTGCTGCGTGCGATTGAGGAGCGACTCGGTGGTGTACCATGCCTCGGTGAATTTGGGCTGCCGCGCTGGCGACGTTGCTTCTTGCATCACACCGCTGCTGGGCCTTGAAGATCCAGTCTCATGGATGGGAATCTCCGTGTAACTGCCGCGGCCAGAGGTAGGCTTGGAAAGGCGCTTGACATCATCTGGCGACGCAATACTATTACGAGGCGAGTTGCCCGGCACAACACCATATTGGCGACTTGGCAGATCAAACTTGGAAGATATAACAGAGTCGCGAGATCCCGTACGTGTGTGCATAAAGGGAATGCTGGGCGGTCGTGAGAGGTCCTCATAGGGCGCACCGGAACGACGGCGGTCTTCCAGGGGAGTGGAAAGTCGCTTGTTGCTCTCTGACATGGCGGTATAGGTGGTGGAGACGGAAGACTTGTTGCGCTTGTGAGCTCTTGCAGTCAGATTGTCTTCCAATGGGTTCATATCAGGAGGCATATTGGTGATGCGCCTGAACATGAGCCCCAGCCAGAGTGAGATGCCGAGAGAGATGACATGCAGACCGCCGGCCCCGATCAAGGTGTAATAGTAGGCCGGGACAAAATAATTAGTGAGTGCCTGGTCGGACAGTAGAGTTGTCCAGGTTTGTGAGCGATTGCGCACAGCCAAAGCACCGTAGGCGTAAAAGGGTAAAGTAGACAGGTCTGTGAAAGCTGCAAAGAGCTGATATGCCGCCGATGAAGCCGGCGTTCTGCTACCAGCAGGTCTCATGTGATGCCAGATTCCATAGGTGCAATTGATGGCCACGACGCCAGACTAGCATGGAATTATATGGTCAGGTCATGTAATCAGTCAAATAATGGGAGGTGAGGTTGAGTAACTTACGGCGATTCGCATCACCCAGGCAGTGAGTGCGTCAACATTGGCAATCAGAATCATGAGCGCCAGCAAACCCAAAGCTCCAATGAGCTCCAAGCTGCGCAGGCCCAACTGCACTCGTCGCAGCCATACGATCCCCGACTTTGTCGCATTGCTCATAGGACGAAAGAAGGTGGTTCTGCCAGTGGGCACCTCGTGGAGACTTTGTTGATCAATTAGCGCACATGCCACGTATTAATATGGCATTGGTGATGGTAGTTGTGATTAATGCGCTTCGCATGATCCATCTCGGGGGTGGTGGGTTTTCACTTACTCGGGATGCCTATTGAAGGAAACGAGCGGGCCATTCTGCTTCTTCTTCTTCTTTGGCTGTGGTTCCCAGCTCGCCCGCGTCACTGCTTTGGGGTCGAACTCTTTCATTGGCAAGCCGCGATCGTGCCGATCCGAGTCATACATGTAAGGCTGATCAAAGCCCCCCATGATTACCAAATTCCTTGGGTCCCCGTTCCGAGGGAGACCGAGACGAGTTTCTTGTTGCGCGCAAAGACAATTAAAAGAGGGGGAGAGGGTATGAGTGATTGGAATGATGGGAGGGAACTCTTAAAGAAATACCTCTGCGAATGGTTAAAGAGGTCTCAAGCGCATGTGGTGGTGTGTTGGGTCAATTCAGTTCAGTTGCGGTTGGGTATCCCAAAACGGCAGAGGTTGGCAAGGCAACGGTGCCTGTGCCTGACTTACACGGGCGGCTGGGCTGATACATACCTTGTACCAATCCCATCTTGGCCACCGTCACACATGAATGGCGCTCAGAAGGGGTTGCAATTGGTCTCGAAAGATATTGGCCATGCGCTTTTGAATTTTGTTTCCATTTGCATTTCCCCTGATGCTTACAACAGAAATTGGACGAGACCAAGATACAAGCTCGATAGAGCACGACTGTCGTCATCCATGGATGTTGCACTATCCCAAACCAACATTTAGAGTCCGACATCCCACCCAAACCCCACTAAATAGCGTCAGGAACAGGCAGTTTTAGTGGCGTTCTTGAGTCGATGAGATAAGAGTCATACTGCACACTGGTGGCACCTATCTCAGAACTTTCAGATTGCTTATTCGCTGATATTCCGAAGAAAACTGGTCCGGTTTTTGGGTTTTGACTTTGTCGCTTAAAGCCGCCACCAACTGGGTTACCTCCGTTTGTATGATTCTCTGTGGTATAAAACTGGGTAAAAAAGTGTTATCCTTGCAACCCTTGTCCTCCATTTGGAACGCAAACCTTCCGCCTGAAAGAATGAGCGCCGTTGCAAGACCCTGGATATGCCGATCGTGCCGGTACAGGGCGTCGCCGCGCCTCCTTTCATCACAGTTTGCCCCGGCCCGTAACTTATATTCAACCACAGTCACACGAAATGGCCGGCCACTGCGCATGGCAGTCGTGGGCTCTGGCCCCGCCGGCTTCTATACGGCCTACCGCGTCATGTCCCGGATTCAGGACTCCAAAGTGGACATGTTCGAGGCCCTTCCGGTGCCCTTTGGCCTGGTCCGCTTCGGTGTCGCTCCAGACCACCCCGAGGTGAAGAACTGCCAGGATAAATTTGAAGAAGTTGCCGCCTCACCCAACTTCAGGTTTATAGGCAATGTGGCAGTTGGGAATCCAGATGGTCATTTTAGTGGATGCACCGTGCCTCTGGAAAAGCTCATGCGGCATTACGATGCTCTGGTCTTCGCCTACGGTGCAAGCAAGGACAAGAAACTCGGTATACCGGGAGAGGATCTCAAGGGCGTCTACTCGGCGAGGGAGTTTGTTGGCTGGTACAATGGCCTCCCCGAGTTTGCCCACCTAAACCCCGACCTGACGAGTGGCGATGAGGCCGTCATCATTGGCCAGGGCAACGTGGCCCTCGACGTGGCCAGGATGCTGCTGGAGAATGTCGACGTGCTGAGGAAATCCGACATCACCGAGGCCGCCATCGAGACGCTGTCCAAGAGCCGGGTCAAGCGCGTGCACATCGTTGGCCGCCGTGGGCCCATGCAGGCCGCGTACACGATCAAGGAGGTACGGGAGCTCATGAAGCTGCACGACGTCGGTTTCCATCAGATGGATATGAACTTGGTGCCAGACGAGGTCTCGAAGCTGCCGCGCGCCCAGAAGCGTCTCATGGATTTGATCATCAAGGGCTCGACGGCAAAGGTAGAGGGTGCCTCCAAGACCTGGTCGCTGGACTTTTGCCTCTCCCCGACCAAATTCTCTGGAAATGCTGGTGGCCATTTGGAGAGCACCACTTTTGAGCGTACGTCTCTGGCATCTCCCTTCGACCCGGCTTCCAAGGTCAGCGGCACTGGCGAGACACTAGACATATCTTCCGCCGTGGCTTTTCGTTCTATTGGCTACAAATCGGTTGCTCTCCCAGGTTTCGATCAAGCTGGCATTCTCTTTGACGATAGAAAGGGCATCATCCAGAACGACGGTTTAGGAAGAGTCTTCACAAACAGTACCGTGGACAAGGGTACACCGACACATTTGGGCGGCGTATACTGCGCTGGCTGGGTAAAGAGAGGCCCGACCGGCGTCATTGCGTCTACAATGCAGGATGCGTTCTCTACAGGTGATGCAATCGCTGCCGATTGGTCAGCAGAAGCCCCCTTCCTGAACGCTGGCGAGAGCCATGGCTGGGATGCGCTCAAGGACGAGGTGGATAGCAGCCGATCCAATGTCGTGACATGGCAAGACTGGCATAAAATTGACGGCGCAGAAAAAGAAAGAGGCAGCCAAATCGGAAAGGAGAGGGAAAAGTTCACTAGCACCTCGGAGATGCTGGCTGTTGCTGCCTAGGGAGTTCTGGCAAGAAAGAGAATCATGGCAGATCATTGTACATTTTTATTGTAATACATTGTGCTAAATAGAATCTAAGACGACTTCAACTTCTCTGTAAGCTCCGGAACCTTCTCAAACAGGTCACCAACCAAGCCAACGTCTGCGACCTGGAAGATGGGTGCGTCACCGTCCTTGTTAATGGCTGCAATAACCTTGCTGTCCTTCATACCAGCCAGATGTTGAATGGCACCCGAGATACCCACGGCCATGTAGAGCTGAGGAGCCACAACCTTTCCAGTCTGTCCTACTTGCAAGCTGTTGTCGGCGTATCCGCTGTCTACGGCCGCACGAGATGCGCCCACGGCAGCGCCAAGGGAATCGGCCAAGGGCAGCATGACCTTGTCAAAGTCCTCCTTCGACTTGAGACCTCGGCCGCCCGACACAACCTTGCTGGCGGTTGCAAGATCCGGCCGGTCAGACTTGGCTAGTTCTTCCGACACCCATTCTGCAAGTGCCTCTGCCTTCGGGTCAACGCCCTCTTCAACAGCAGCCGAGCCGCTGCCAACCTCGGCTGCGGCGAAAGCAGTACCGCGGATAGTAATGAACTTGACAGCATCGGCGGACTCGACCGTAGCGATAGCGTTGCCGGCGTAGATTGGTCGCACAAAGGTGTTCTCGTTCTCGATGGCGGTGATATCGGAAATCTGCTGGGAGTCGAGCAGGGCAGCGACCCGCGGCATAAGATTCTTTCCAAAAGCCGTGTGGCCTACAATGACGTGTGTGTAGCCGCCCTTCTTGATGTTCTCGACGAGAAGGGGCGCAAAATTCTCTGCGAGTCCCTGGGTTGAATGGTCAATGAGGTGCACCGAATAGCCGAAAGCCAGGCCGCAATGCGCGGGTGGCCGCAGCGGCGACATCATACCTTGTCATAGGCGCCATTGTCGACGGCAATGATCTTCTCAACGCCGTCCACCTTTGCGGCCTCGTCTGCTACGCCCTTGATGTTGCTTCCAGCGACGAAGCCATGTACGGAGCCACCAAGTTTCTTGGCGGCGGTGACTGCACTGAGCGAACCGTGGTTCAGCTTGCCCTCGCGCTGCTCGAGGATGGCAAGTGTTGACAGTAACCTTTGTAGTGCCGAGGGGCTGTATGGGCTGGCAAAAGCGGACGTGGCCTTGGGGATGCCATTGGCTGCTCTAAGAGCAGTTCTTCTTGCTGCCGAAAACATGGTGTGTTGTTATTGGAATGAATTGTTACGGCCAACTCGAGCACAGAAAGGTTGTGCTTGTGGTGCTGAGGTCACTTTCTAATATACCTTGCCTACCTACTACTACTCAATTAAAGCGGCTGTCATCGGCGCGTGAGCCCGAGGTAAATGATGCCGCCCGCTATCGGCTGGGAGGATTGAGAGAAATATGTGGTTATGAGATATTATCGGCTTATTAATAGCAATGATGCTAACCAGTTGCACCCACTTATGCAATGCACCCCCTTTTGTAACGGATTTTTAACAAAGTCCGATATAAAATATATAATATAATTAAATATTTTCCCATTATAACACACTTAAATTGATTTTTTTAATTATAAATTTAGTTTTTACGTCGTTTTTTAATTATAAAAGGCTATATTTTAAGGAAATTATTAATAGGAACCTATTTTTTATAGCATTTTTCGCAGCCGCTTATTTAGCTTATTTTAAGCAGATTTAATATATGGAAAATTAGCAAATGCCTGGTTCGGATTAAAAGTGATTATTTAACGTTTATCGGGCTTATATTTACCTAGTTTTATATTTAAAAATAAATTATTTTAGCGCGTTATAACTAGTTTTATTATTATTAAATCTAGTATTTTTGCCGTTTTTATTATTAATTGCCTTACCTCCCGCCCTAACGCTAAATATTTTTTTTAAATGGAAAAAAAGCATCCCGAAGATCTTTGCTATTATAAGGAGTTATAATAGCAATTTTAGCTATATTTAAAAGTTTTAATATGGCAGTCAGTTAGACCTTGAGGGTCCTTAAGATATTAGATATAAGGAGCATATAAATATCCCTATTAAAAGCAAAAAGCTTACGGATAAGGTCCGTACGCTCCAGGGAAATTAATAAATCTTTTTAATAAATAAATATATAAATAGGACTATATACTCTTTTTTTAATTAGAATTTAAATAAATATAATATATTTTATAATTATACTTATATTTTTTAACGCTTTTAGCTTATTTTAATATTGTGATTTTTTTAAACCTATTTTATATGCTCTTTTAATTATATTATAATTATAAGCCCGGTCTGCTCGTAAAATTATTATATTTTATATTCCGCATTTTATTATTATATTTTAAAAAAATATATAATATTAGCTTTTAAGCTTAATTTATTTTTTTATTATTATACGTTTAAAAATATCTAAATTTAAAAAATTTAAAACTAATATTAAATTTAATAAAAAATATAATTAGCCTAATTGGTTTTTTAAATATAAGTATTTAGCAAACTATTTTAAAATTTAGCATTTCGTAAATTTAGATTTTACGCTTTTTTTTTCCCGGAAAAAGCTTTTTTTTTTAATAATCGAAAAATATATTAAGGACTTTTAAAAGCAATTTAAAAAAAAGCATTTAGCAGCTATTATAAAATAAAAGAAAACTAAAAAAAAAAAGCTCCGAAAAAGGAGCCCGTGCCTATAGGTTTTACGTTCCAAAAAATATATAATAAAAAAGTTTTTATTAAGCAAATTTTATTTAACGTTATTTTCGCCTAAATTAATAAAATATATTACTTAAAAAAATAAATCGATAAAATAATAAACCCCGGTTTTTTATAAATCGTTAAAATTAAAGCGGAAGGAGTAAAGGAATATATTTTTAAATATTGCGTTAAATAGCTTAAGGCCTTTTACGAATTAAATAAAATTAATTATATAAAATACGTAAAATTATAATATAAGCTTTATTTTATTATTATAATTAAAGCCTAAAACCTTTAAAAATAGTTTTTCGAATAGAAAATTAAACGAATAAAAGCCCGGACGTATTAAGTCCCTAAAATTTATAAAGCTTTCGCCGTTAAAGATTTTTTACGCGTTATAAATATTAAAATTATACCTAGCTAAGGAAAAAAATAGATAAAGCGTATTAATAATTTTAAAAACGAACTATTTCCGACTTTTAATACTTTAAAAAAGGCGCTTTTTAATTAATTCGATAAAATTATTTTATTAATTAATAAACTAAAAATTTTCGCAATTTTAGGCCTAGGCTTAAAATTTTACGGAAACGGAGTATTAAAAAATATAAGATTAATAATTTCGAGCTTTAACGTTTTAGCCTAAGAATTTTTTTTGCTTTTATAAAAAAAAGGGATAAAAAAACTACCGGTAGGGCCTAAAAATATATTTATTTTTAGAATACGCTTTTATAGGTTTAATAAAAAAAAAATTAAAATATTATTTAAAGCGAAAATAAACAAAATCCGTTTTTATATATAATAAAAAAAGTATAAAAAATTAAAAGGTTAATTTAAAGCTATCGGCTAAATATTAGGTAATTTTAATAAAAAGAACCCTAAGAGCGGGTTTTTATACCCTAGCTTTATTAGCGCTATAATTATTAATTTATTTATTTTTTATAAGGGAGTATAAGAATTCCTTTTTATCGCTTTTTTTTAATTCGATCCTTTTTTTTTTATTTCCGAAAAGCTCTTAAATATACCTTTAATACTCCAGCTAAACCTTTGCCTTTTTTTAATTATTATAATTATTAATTTTATTATTATAAATTTTAATAATATTATTAGTATTTATATTATTATTTTTAATAAATATTTATTATCCGATTTTACGCTTTTTAATAATTATAGCGCTATTTATATAGTAAATAACTCTAAATTTTTATTACTAAATTTTATTAAATTTGCAAAAAACGAAGATTAAATCCAGGTTAGCATTTTATTTTTTCCTATTTAAGGCTAGGGTACCTATATTATTAAAAATTATATTAATAATCCTATAAGCATTAAAATAAATTTTATATTTAACGATATTGCTTATTTTTTAAATTTTTATTATAATATTATTTCTAAATTTAAACTAAATAAAAAAAAAAGCATAATTTTGCAAATATAATATTATTATTAAATACGGAATACTAAAATATAATATTATATTTTATAAGCTTTAGCGAAAGTTTTATTTAATTTTTTTTAAATATAAGCCTATATCCTCCTATTTTTTTTAATTTTCCTGCTAAAATAAATATAAATTACCTTTATATTTTAATATTTTATTTTATTAATTAACGAAAAATATAACGATTTAGGGTATATATTTAGCCTAAATTTAACAAAAAATTATTTTAATATTTTTAGTTAAAATATTTTAAGGCTAAAGCTTTTTAAGCGGTTTGCTAAAAAACGCAAAAAATATTTAAATTAGTAAAATAAAATAATTTAATTATAAAATTTATATATATTTTAAGGCTATTTAGGTAATTTTAAAAAAAACTAAAAAATATTAAATAAAACGATTATTTTAGCGGATATTTTTAAATTTTATATTTTACGATAAAGCTTTTAATAAAAGCATTTATACGCTAATTATTAAAAAAAATAATTACAAAAATATTTCGTTTTCTTATTAAAATCCAAAAAAAAAAACGAATTTACCCTAATAATTATTAATTTCGTTATATTAGTAAAACGATAATACCGCCTTTTCGTTTATATAATTTTTTACGATAATAAAACGGTATTTTTACCGGCGCGCGGGATTAGTTATTATAAATGCTAAGCTAAAAAAAAAATTATTATTTAATTATTAACCCTTTATATATTTAAACTAAACAAAAGAATTAAAAAAGCTATTCGAAAGCTTTAAGAAAAAACCTTAATAATATTAATATTTGCGAATTTCCTTTTTACGCTTTAGCTAAAAATACTAAAAACGGCAATATACCTATATAATATATTATTAAACGCTTTTAAAAACTACCGATTATTAAATAAAATGCTAAATAAATAATTCGAATAATATTTCCGATAATATACCTTAAAAATTATACGAAAAATTATTATTAATTTAAAACCGGATTAAAATTTAATTTACGTATATAAATATATAATTTACGCTTTAAAAAAAAATAAAAAAAAGGTATTAATTTAAGATATTATAAAATTTATTTAAAAGCTTATTTTAGATATTTAGTTAAATATTATTTTAACTAATTTTTCCGTATTTAAATTCTAAACCTAAATTAAATTATAATTATAAAAAACGTTAAATTTAATAAAAAAGTATTTTATAAAGGCCTTTAAAAGGAATAAAAAAAATAAATTATTAAAAAAAGATTTTATCCTATTATTAACGAAATTAAAAAGCTTAAACCGATATTTTTTAAAAACGATATTATCTTATAATTTAACCTTTAAAACGCTTTATAATTACGTTTTATATTACCCGATTTAAAGGGTAAATTTATATTTAATATTATTTCCAAATATATAAATATAGCTTAATAAATCGCGGAATAGCTTAAAAACGACGCTAAAAATAATTTTTTTAATACTTAAATATTAAATATTTACCTAAATATTTTTTTAGGAATACAAAATTTTTTTAAGCTAAAGCAAAAAAATTAAAGTTTTTTATTCTTAATAGTTACGCTTAAATTATATAAAAAAACCGGTATTTATAAAAAAAAAAATCGCGGGGATACTTTATAAAAGAGTAATATTTCGATAAAAAATAATTAAAAATATATAATATAACGCTAAATGCTTAATAATTTAGTATTAGGACTAAGGTTTTTAAAAGGTATAGCTATTAATTTATTTAGGGATAAAAACTTTTAAAACGCTAAGGAATTATTATTTTTAATTCCTAAAAACGTTAAAGAATCGCGACCTTTAATTTTTATTAAAGCAAAATACTTTAAAATTAAAATACCTATACGGTTTATTAATTTAAAAGGGCAAAAAGCACAAAATATAATTTTAACCGCTTTTATAAAAAATTAATTAAACGAAATAATCGAGATTAAACGTAATACGCGTACTAAAAAAGCTTTTTAAAAATACGGATAATTATATATATTAATAATATTTTACGGAATATTTGCAATTTTATTAATTAACCTATTTTAAAAAAAATTCGACGACTAATTTATATTAATAGCTAAAAATAAAAATCTTTTAGCGTATAAAACCTTATATTTTGTAATCGT